AGTATTTTTATCACGCCAAGAATGCTCATGTCCATTTTCAGTCACTCCCTTTCTCCCCACCTCTCCCCCAATCCTAGGCATCACTAGCCTATTTCTGTCTCTCTAGACTTGCCTTTCCTGGACATTTCTTAAAAATATAATCTTTCATCTTTTGTTCCTGGCTTCTTTGACTCAGCTTAATGCTTCTGAGATTCATCAATGTATCAGCACTTCATTCCTTTTTTTCATTGCCAAATAGCATTCAGTTATATGGAAACAGTGTCTTAATATGTTTATTTTACCTGTATACATTTACTCAGTGATTGTCTTAGGTTTTTCATTTTCTTGGTGTGTGCTCTTCTATGTAACTGTCCTCTAGTACCATGTAAATCTGTTAGGTGTTAATCTCTTCCATGCAAATAATCTAGGTATAGCTGTCACCTTCTTGGAGAAATCTTTCCTCTGACCTGCTCCAGTCTATCTCACTGTGGACTGGATGCCTCTAGGACTCCCGCACCTGGGAGAGTTTTTCATTATTCTAGAGATTCTTTTTGCCTTACTTTTGTACTGGATTTCCTTTCTCCAGAACTGAAGACAAAAAAATATCTTTTTCTTTCTTAATGTACTTCATTTAGGTATAGCACATTACCTACCTTTCTAGAAGAAAAAGATGTATGGGAGATGAGCCATAAAAAAGGTTTTATCTGATGATCCTAGTTCTCATGATGGACCCAAAAGAGGTTTTATTTTTGTTTTTGCAGCTTTTGATTCATATTTTAGCCTCATACTTAATTGGTACTTTGAGTATTAGAAATTTTTTAAGATAATTACAATTTTTTTAATGTAGGTTAGAAACTATTTTTTCCCTGAATTTTTAAGATATTGCTCTGTTGTCTTTACAGTTGAGAAGGCTATCATTCTGATTCTTAATCGTTTTTTGTTGTTGTTGTTATCATTAATCTATAATTACATGAAGAACATTATGTTTACTAGGGTCCCCCCTTCACCAAGTCCCCCCACAAACCCCATTGCAGTCACTGTCCATCAGCTTAGTAAGATGTAGAATCTCTGATTCTTAATCTTTTACACAAAACATGTTTTTGGCTTTGGCTGGGTCTTTATCTTTTCTTTGTTCCTAGTATCCTGAAATTTCATTGTGATGTACCATTTGTATAGGTTTACTATTCTCCGTTGCCCTGGATACTTGATAGTCTTTTTCAGTCTCAAGGCTTATGTCTTTCAGGTCAAAGAAATTTATGTCTGAGACCTCTTTCTATGAGTATCCTCTCCTTTTTACATGGATGCAACATTTTCAGAAGAGATAAACAATGTTTTTTTAAAAGTTTTCTTCTCCCCAGATAGTCTGTTTCCTCCTAGTTGCCACCTTCTGGCTTCTCTTGGATGCTTTCCTCAAGGTCTGGTAATATTTGACTCTCTGCTCAAACTTCAGGGAACTTAAAAAGCTGACAGGAAGCTCTGAATGCCTGAGTAGGTCATTGACTATGACCGTCATAGTAGTGATCTGAGATGTTTCTTTGGGGATTCCCAAGATTCACCTGAGCAGAGGCCCTTTACTTACAATTCTAGAGTATCTTGGTGCCTCTCTTTCCTTGGTGAATCTCAACAGTCCTTACAGGCACAATGACCTTAAAATGACCTATGTATTATTTCACCTGAAAAAAATAATTGTGTTTTTTCCTCATAATAGGAGTTTATTACTGACATTTCACAGTTAAAGTTTTTGTTGTTAGTGTCATGAAAATATTCCTGTGGTCTTTAACCAAAAATTAGAAAAGACAATGGTCCTCAAAAGGGTATGCTCAAGTATATATGTGTACTTTTTAAGATAGATGGTGCTTTTGTCAGATCCTGATTCTGTGATTGACCCAAAAGAGATGTAAAACAAAACCAAACAAAACTTTGCCTAGAGTAGTGGTCCTTACCCTGGGTGTGCATCAAAATTAGTCAACTTTTTTGAACACATATATTCCTGGATCCTACCCATAAACCAGGATAGAGCTTCAGGAAAAGACGTTTAAACAGATTGCTTTTCATTTCAACCACCAATGGTAGATTGGCCTAGAACATCTGGGTTGTACTACTGAAAGATGGTATCCATCTGTATAAACCAGACACACACAAACATAAACTATGTTCATAGTTCAGAGGCATTTTTGTCCTGATAATTAAGAGTTCCGTATCAGATAAATCAACTCCTTTCTTACTCAGCGCCTTTGATTGGGATTGACAGAGGAATTACCGAAGTAATTTTCAAATTGAGTATATCAGAATCTCCTGAGATGCTTTAAAAGTGTGCCACTCTCAGGATTTTAACTCCTTATATCTGGAGAAGAATTATGCATTTTTCATAGGCATTCTTGGTTATCATGATGGAGATGATAGGTGGACCATATTTTGAGATAGTCTAATCTAAGTTTGCTACCAGTAATATTGGTGAAAGTTTTTTTGGGCGCCTGGGGGTTGGAGTGGTAAGAAGGTTAATTGTCTGCTTTTTGTTGTTGCTTAAATATAATTAGCTCCTAAAAGTCTAGTAATAAGAATAAGCAGTACAGCTATTAGATCCAGGCAACTAAACCTGCTCTTTAGAGGGCCCAGCTCTGGCCTTCTGCCAGCCAAACCCCTTCACAGGATGAGGAATACCAGAGGACATCTTCCCCCGAGATCCAGCCCCTTCTAGACCACATTCTCGATACTCCACACCCTGGAATTCCTTGCCAGATGTCCACTCTGTGGACCTACACAGGCCTCTTCCCTCTCAGAACCTATGTGCACACTTCTAAATCCAAGAGGTAACTGAGGCATAACTCAGTTTTACCACAGAGTCCCTTATCTTCAACTTTTTTTCCTTCCTCCAAAAAATTTCTCTATGCCTTTGCTATTCTATATTAACAGTTCTTAAAGAAGCATTAATTGCATGTCTGACATTAAAGAAATGACCCCTCAACCTGTAGTTAGTTTTATGTAATATTTGAGGTCAATTACTACATCTGACATGAGGCTGCAGTGTTTTAATTGCAATAAATTTTGTTAGAGCAAAGGAAAGGTACAGCTTTCCAATCAGTTGGAAAGGTGTGGTTCCTCTGCCCTCCTCCTTCTCAGTAAGGGCCAGGAAGAAAAAAGCCACGTGTTCCATATTATTTCTTCAAAAAATTCTGGGGCAAAAAGAGAAAGGAAGGGATTAACTGACTTAATTTAACATTCGGAGCTACAAATCATATGTTGCAATATGGAGATAGGATGTTGCATCAGAACATGGCAGTTGTAGTAATACATTGGGTATCACAAGCATGGGGAGGTCTCTGTGGTGCTCTGTGACCTTTCTCTAAAGACTCAACTCCAAGTTTAGATCCCTTCTGCTCTGCTAAGGAGGAAGGTGTTGCTTACATTGTACCTCACTGTAATTTTGTTCTCTTGGCCCAAGGCACAGAAGTTCTTTATGGTTGAAGGTTTGCCTGAGGCAGACATCAGTGTACTAAGTCCCAGCATCCCTCTTGTTCTCCCGTTGTCACATACCAGCTGGGAAATGCTGAGGTTTCTTCACATCTTCCTGGAAGTCTGTCGGGAAAGCTGGGAGGTGTTTATGGCAAGGCTGTAATGTTTACTCTCAGACCGTTAGTTTTGAAAGTATATGTAATATTTCCTGGCTATTTCACATAGCCTTTATCTCAAGATTTGAAAGCATGTAAGTGACCAGGAATTTGTCCCTGAGAAACAAAATTGGGGTTGATAGTAATGATAAGGGTAGGAAACATGGAGTATATTTCAGCAAAATTGTTAATAGCAAGATAGATTTTGGTGGTTAATTGTTTATTTTTTTAACTCTTTATTGTAGGAGAAAATTCATGGTGTATGGGAGAAATTAAACATTGGACAATATCAAAATTAAATATTACATTTAAAACCAAAGCTCTTGAGGGCAGGGATGATGTCTTCATTATATGTTAGTTGTGCTATCCATGGCGGTGGGGTTGGGAATTTTAGAGAACTAAGGCAAAAGTGATGAAAAGAAATCACCTTTAATTCTGATAAAAATTCCCGGTGGAAGAGATGGTTTAGATGTGTGACTACAATATTCAATACTGAACTCTAGAATTAGTGAGACTTGCCCACCAGGAACAGGGAGCAACCGATCTCCACAGCTTTTCTCACATAATAGTGTGGCGCTGTAAAACTCCAGCGACAGACAGACCGAACCTGGTTCCCAGAGTTGAAAAGGGAGGGGAAAGAGCTAAGCCATATATGCCATTCCTCTCCCCAATTCCCTATTGAAAAGAATTCACTCCTTCTCCCTGGAAAGGAGAGAAGGCAGTTTTACACTGCCAGCATGCCCCCCGGAAGGGAGTATCTCTAGTGGGAAGAAGCATGCCTCCTGTCTTGACTGAGTGACCATGGTATGCAGTCTTTAGGCCGTTACAATAGGTGGAGAGTCACAGCACATTTTAATGATCTGTAAATCATTTTAATCATTCAGGGTTATGGAGACATGCTCTCAAGACTATAGACTATATATGTAAGTCCATGTCTTCTAAAGATCCATTCTTAAATATTTATGGGTGAACTGATAAGACGTCTGGGATTTACCTCAAAGTAATCCAGGGACAGGAGAGGTATAAAAAACAAGATTGTCCACGATGTATTATTCAGATTAGATGATGGGTACATGGGGTTCATTGTAGTATCTGTAGTACAATAAAGGATCAGTTTGAATCTAAACTTCGCTATTAGTTTGTGTCCTCAGCCAGTTACTCTCCCTAAATCTTCATTTCTTAATCTGTAAAATGAAGATAATAAAATCTACCATGTAGGATGGTTGTGATACTTTAGTTAAAATAACAAGTTATATGCCCATTACGTAACATGTAGGCACTCAAAAATTGGTGGTTATATCTACAAATGGACGGAGATTAAGTTACCTTCTTCCTTAAACATGAAGCATTTGCTTTCTTGGTGTGTGTGTTTTTCCCAAGTTGAATATATTATCTTGGATTTTGTTTTGACAGCTCAGGTGCCTAAAAGGCCAGAGGGTCTTCTCAGGCCAAGCCCCTTTTGATGGAATCCACATTGTCAACCATTTACTAGAAGATGATGAATCATTACATTCCTCTGATGAAGATTTTATGGACAACTCCTTACAGGAAAGTGGCATTGGTTTTCCTTTGCTCAGAAAATCTGGCCTGCTGTCCTTGGATCCCACTGTGGCCGATGGCAGTGGAAGCGAAGCAGAAGACAGTGTCCCAGAGACCAGAGACAGCAGTCACCTGGCTCTAAAGGAGCAGCCCCCACGAAGAAGAGAGGCATATTCAACCACTGTCTGACCATCACTGTGACCTAGACACTGGATTTTTTTAAGGGATCAGTTATCATATGTTTGAGGGTTTTTGGAACATATCTGTTTCATATGTACATATATATACATATAATATATATATTTTACATTCTTATCTCCCTTTATATCTTTGCCAAATCTTCACCACTGACTTACCATTGCCATAGAGTAGACTGGAATATGGTAATCAGAAAAATAAGGTTCTAACAGTATTAATTGAATATTAATGTTTCTTGTTTAGAAATGCAATTGTATCTATGTGTGGGAACATTCTGAAGTTAGGAACTATGGAAAATTGAATTTCTTTAGACAAAACTTTTTGTGCAATATCTTATACTTAATGAACAAATTGTGTGTTTATGTTTATCAATTTGTTTTCAGGACGGCTGTCTACAAACATCTGGCCAAGACATACATCTGATTTATCATTCATTTTGTGTTTGAGAGATATTTTTCCCCAGTTAAAATTATTGCTTTAATAGCAGGCCACTGAAAGTTCCCAAACACAAACCTTTTTTTCCATGTAATTTTATAAACACAAATTAATGGTTATCTGTCTTAAAATGTTTTTTAAGTTTTGTTTTCTAATTTTTATATGCACATGATGTTTCCCTGTGTTGCCTACTACTCTGTGTGGTCAGAGTAGTAGGTTAACTGCAAATATATTGTTTTTTTGGTACATATTTATAAATCTGCATCACCCAACATTGAACATCATTGTATATGTTGAATGTACATGTTGCAAAATGCCTTTAGCATTCTAACAGGACTTCTGTAAATAAAATAATAGGTTCAAAGAAATTGAAAATAAAACCAAACACTAATATTTTAATAGCTTTAGTATTTTGCTTAGCATTCAACACTAGCAGATGCATAATTTAGTTCATGCTTGTTCAGAAGCACTATTGGTGAAATCTTTTACTTCATGTGTATATAACTAATAAATTTTTCATGATTTAAAGAGGTTATAGCACATACTACTTAGTGCTGATATTCTACTTAAAATAATTTAAGCAATGGACTGAGAGGTCCAAGATACACAAAAATTATATATGCAAATATCTATGAACATTATCTTCAGATACTCTGGTTACTTATCTTTAGATAAAGCCATAAGAATTTTTCCCTACCAGTTCTTCCTTTGTTCCATGTAGAGTTTTTTTCCTAGAAAACTGAATGCCTGTCATTGATAAATTGGAGGAAACACCCAAATTACAACTACATCATGTAAAGACAACAAGAATGTATTGACTGGATGCTTTTTGCTCTTATTTTCATCAGCAGCCTTTAAAAAAAATACAAGAAGAAGAAGGTAGAATTCAGTATATATGGAGATACAATTTTGTATGTTATGTTGATACAGAAGAAAGAATGACAGAATGGAGTAGAAGAGACAAAAATAATTTTCTGTCTAAAACTAGGAGATAAGCCTTATGATACATTGAGGATTAGGCTTTTCCAGCAAGCCTTTTACTATTTGCTTGAGAATCCTGGAGACATGGGTACATGTCTTAGCCTGCTGTGTCCTTAGCACTGGGCGAAATTCTAGTGGTTAAGTAACCTACCTGTGTAAAGAAGTTAGTCAGTAGCAGAGCCAGGACGTAATCCAGATCTCTCTGACATTAAGCATTCAAAAAGGTTCAGTGAATGAATTTCTCAACTCCCTGCTTTTGTGACAATTAATGTGATTTAAATAACTGATTTAAATATGTTCCCTAAATAGATAGATAGGTAAGTGGATAGATGTAAATGTATGAGTATCAACCTCGTAAGCTCTACACAGCTTATGATATAGATACTACTCCTAGAATTGTCTGACTGGGACTTGAGAGATTCTCTCCTGGAGCTCGTTACTGTCAGCCGAGAGTCTGCTGATACTCAAGTGAATGAAATGAGACAATTCATGGTTATGTGATTGCTGTGACCCCCAAATCAAGAAATCTGAATAATCTAGATTCAGGGTCAGCAAATCATGACCCAGTTCTAGCCAGCTGCCTGTTTTTACATGACTCACTAGCTAAGAGTGGTTTTTACATTTTTAAATAATGTGCAGGGCAGGGGGGGAATTGAAAGAGTAACATTTTGTGTCACATAAAAATCATGTGCAATTCAGTGTCATAAAGTCTTACTAGAGTGTACCTGTCCTTGTCCGTTTATATACTGTCTGTGGCTGGTTTTCTGCTACAGTGACAGCTGAGCACTGCAGAGCCATGTGGCCCATATAGCCTAAATTACCTATTAACTGGCCCTTCAGAGAAAAAGTTTACTGGCCCTTGATTTAGATACTCTAAAATGTAGGTTACTCCTTCAGTTTGTCTCCGTTGAAGATTGAACCATTTGCTTTTGCTGTTGAGCTAATGGCTTGGATATCGAAAATTTCCTGGTGAATCTTACTATACTCAGAATTATTCAAAATAGAAAGTGCCAGCTATTTTATATCATGAAGTCTTTGATGCCATAGATGCAACAAATTTGGAAGGATAGCTGTACTTTTGGAATGCAGAAAGGAAGCAAAGAATTCCAGAATATGAGCACTGTTCTTTAAAACATGCATATTGACCTTTAGAGTATGCTTCAGTGAGTCAATGTTATAGTTTGACTTTAAAATAAGAACATCTTCCTAGAAATGTTTGAACTCTAAACTTTGAAAGATATTCTTAGAGAATTTTTTAAATACTGTTTCCAGGTAGGGATTAGGTATTAAAAGAATCATAGTAAGTTAACCTTAATTCATTGATATTCTTGTAATTTGGGCAATGAAACAATCTTATCATTTAAGATTTTGGATTCAAATAGTCTTTAGAAGGGTTTAAAATCTTCCTGGCTTTTATGATGCACTAGCTATACTATTCCCCAATTTGACAAGCAAATTAAGACTTTGAAAATGTTTCTTGATAGATTTTATTTAATGTCTGGTATTTTTGTGTCATTTAAATGTTATTCAGTCAAACATTCAGAGTTGAGGAATATTCAATGGGAATTGAATGAAATAAACTCACAGTAAAAGAAAAATACTCTCTTGAGATAGTTGCCTTCCTTGGTGTCATTGAATCCTGGGTTAAATGCTAAGAGTAGAGGCTACAAGTGATCTGAATAAAATAGAAATCTCACTGAAGTGATGAAACAGCAACCTTTTAGATCAAGAAAATATTTTAACAGCCTTTTAAAAAATAAGTGGTAATTTTTTTCTTCCTGGAAAAAGAAGTCAAAGATGTAACTACAAAAGTTCTACCATTTTTTATTGATAGATCTTATCTCCCTTTATATCTTTGCCAAATCTTCACCACTGACTTACCATTGCCATAGAGTAGACTGGAATATGGTAATCAGAAAAATAAGGTTCTAACAGTATTAATTGAATATTAATGTTTCTTGTTTAGAAATGCAATTGTATCTATATGTGGGAACATTCTGAAGTTAGGAACTATGGAAAATTGAATTTCTTTAGACAAAACTTTTTGTGCAATATCTTATACTTAATGAACAAATTGTGTGTTTATGTTTATCAATTTGTTTTCAGGACGGCTGTCTACAAACATCTGGCCAAGACATACATCTGATTTATCATTCATTTTGTGTTTGAGAGATATTTTTCCCCAGTTAAAATTATTGCTTTAATAGCAGGCCACTGAAAGTTCCCAAACACAAACCTTTTTTTCCATGTAATTTTATAAACACAAATTAATGGTTATCTGTCTTAAAATGTTTTTTAAGTTTTGTTTTCTAATTTTTATATGCACATGATGTTTCCCTGTGTTGCCTACTACTCTGTGTGGTCAGAGTAGTAGGTTAACTGCAAATATATTGTTTTTTTGGTACATATTTATAAATCTGCATCACCCAACATTGAACATCATTGTATATGTTGAATGTACATGTTGCAAAATGCCTTTAGCATTCTAACAGGACTTCTGTAAATAAAATAATAGGTTCAAAGAAATTGAAAATAAAACCAAACACTAATATTTTAATAGCTTTAGTATTTTGCTTAGCATTCAACACTAGCAGATGCATAATTTAGTTCATGCTTGTTCAGAAGCACTATTGGTGAAATCTTTTACTTCATGTGTATATAACTAATAAATTTTTCATGATTTAAAGAGGTTATAGCACATACTACTTAGTGCTGATATTCTACTTAAAATAATTTAAGCAATGGACTGAGAGGTCCAAGATACACAAAAATTATATATGCAAATATCTATGAACATTATCTTCAGATACTCTGGTTACTTATCTTTAGATAAAGCCATAAGAATTTTTCCCTACCAGTTCTTCCTTTGTTCCATGTAGAGTTTTTTTCCTAGAAAACTGAATGCCTGTCATTGATAAATTGGAGGAAACACCCAAATTACAACTACATCATGTAAAGACAACAAGAATGTATTGACTGGATGCTTTTTGCTCTTATTTTCATCAGCAGCCTTTAAAAAAAATACAAGAAGAAGAAGGTAGAATTCAGTATATATGGAGATACAATTTTGTATGTTATGTTGATACAGAAGAAAGAATGACAGAATGGAGTAGAAGAGACAAAAATAATTTTCTGTCTAAAACTAGGAGATAAGCCTTATGATACATTGAGGATTAGGCTTTTCCAGCAAGCCTTTTACTATTTGCTTGAGAATCCTGGAGACATGGGTACATGTCTTAGCCTGCTGTGTCCTTAGCACTGGGCGAAATTCTAGTGGTTAAGTAACCTACCTGTGTAAAGAAGTTAGTCAGTAGCAGAGCCAGGACGTAATCCAGATCTCTCTGACATTAAGCATTCAAAAAGGTTCAGTGAATGAATTTCTCAACTCCCTGCTTTTGTGACAATTAATGTGATTTAAATAACTGATTTAAATATGTTCCCTAAATAGATAGATAGGTAAGTGGATAGATGTAAATGTATGAGTATCAACCTCGTAAGCTCTACACAGCTTATGATATAGATACTACTCCTAGAATTGTCTGACTGGGACTTGAGAGATTCTCTCCTGGAGCTCGTTACTGTCAGCCGAGAGTCTGCTGATACTCAAGTGAATGAAATGAGACAATTCATGGTTATGTGATTGCTGTGACCCCCAAATCAAGAAATCTGAATAATCTAGATTCAGGGTCAGCAAATCATGACCCAGTTCTAGCCAGCTGCCTGTTTTTACATGACTCACTAGCTAAGAGTGGTTTTTACATTTTTAAATAATGTGCAGGGCAGGGGGGGAATTGAAAGAGTAACATTTTGTGTCACATAAAAATCATGTGCAATTCAGTGTCATAAAGTCTTACTAGAGTGTACCTGTCCTTGTCCGTTTATATACTGTCTGTGGCTGGTTTTCTGCTACAGTGACAGCTGAGCACTGCAGAGCCATGTGGCCCATATAGCCTAAATTACCTATTAACTGGCCCTTCAGAGAAAAAGTTTACTGGCCCTTGATTTAGATACTCTAAAATGTAGGTTACTCCTTCAGTTTGTCTCCGTTGAAGATTGAACCATTTGCTTTTGCTGTTGAGCTAATGGCTTGGATATCGAAAATTTCCTGGTGAATCTTACTATACTCAGAATTATTCAAAATAGAAAGTGCCAGCTATTTTATATCATGAAGTCTTTGATGCCATAGATGCAACAAATTTGGAAGGATAGCTGTACTTTTGGAATGCAGAAAGGAAGCAAAGAATTCCAGAATATGAGCACTGTTCTTTAAAACATGCATATTGACCTTTAGAGTATGCTTCAGTGAGTCAATGTTATAGTTTGACTTTAAAATAAGAACATCTTCCTAGAAATGTTTGAACTCTAAACTTTGAAAGATATTCTTAGAGAATTTTTTAAATACTGTTTCCAGGTAGGGATTAGGTATTAAAAGAATCATAGTAAGTTAACCTTAATTCATTGATATTCTTGTAATTTGGGCAATGAAACAATCTTATCATTTAAGATTTTGGATTCAAATAGTCTTTAGAAGGGTTTAAAATCTTCCTGGCTTTTATGATGCACTAGCTATACTATTCCCCAATTTGACAAGCAAATTAAGACTTTGAAAATGTTTCTTGATAGATTTTATTTAATGTCTGGTATTTTTGTGTCATTTAAATGTTATTCAGTCAAACATTCAGAGTTGAGGAATATTCAATGGGAATTGAATGAAATAAACTCACAGTAAAAGAAAAATACTCTCTTGAGATAGTTGCCTTCCTTGGTGTCATTGAATCCTGGGTTAAATGCTAAGAGTAGAGGCTACAAGTGATCTGAATAAAATAGAAATCTCACTGAAGTGATGAAACAGCAACCTTTTAGATCAAGAAAATATTTTAACAGCCTTTTAAAAAATAAGTGGTAATTTTTTTCTTCCTGGAAAAAGAAGTCAAAGATGTAACTACAAAAGTTCTACCATTTTTTATTGATAGAGATTAGACACTCAGTGTTTGATGATTAATTGAGCCATCAAGTTCCGATTAAATAGCAGGCTATTTTAGAAGGGAAAAAAACTGTTTCTTAACTCTGAACATAATGCAGCTTGTTACTCTCCAGGTAGTGCCTTTGATTGAAAACAAGGTCTAGATAGACCTTTTTAAGTATTTTATTTGTGATATAATAAATGATTTGGTTCCTTGATCTCCTTTATCTTTTATATAGTGCACTATAATTTTCAGAGTTAAAGTAAAATGAGTGTATCAACTGTGTTTTGGTAAAGCCCTTTCATGGCCAATGTTTGGCATTGACAGCTAACATTTTATGAAATCAATGACTTACTTTGTTAAAATAATGAGCTTTAACCTGAAATTTATTGCTGCTTTATCATTAACAAAACAAAAAATTTTGTTAATTTTAATTCATTCTACTGAAATGTAAATTTCTGGTTAAAAGTGGAGTGGATACTACTTATAATCCAAGTTTTTACATCATATCCATTGATCTACCTATCCCTTTTTTTCACTCCAAAGAAGAGATGATAGACTAATACATTTAGATATACTATAGAAATGCAGAATTGTAATGTATTTCATTTTACTGTTGGAATTTCTTATTGTAACATCATATAACCTGAAATGTGCCTTTGCTTTAAACAATTATTAAAGTTTTCCATTTTCTAAGAATTTCTACTTCCTTAAACTGTGCAACTTAGATGGGAAGAGTCTTCAAAACACTGTTAAAAAATGCTTAGCCTAACATGTGATATTTAGTGAGGTTTGTGCTCCACGGGCCCAGAGACCACATCCACCTTGTCCACCCACATATGATTAGTGCCAGAGAGCCTGGTACATTATATTTTTCAATTTAATGGAAGATAAGATACCTAGATTTGTTATTTCCTTTAAGAGCATGCTAATTTTTTGAAAATATTAATGGCAACATTTTCATCTCATTGTATTTTGGGTTATTAGCAACTAATTCAATATACATTCAAGTAAGCAATGTGAATATGCATCAGAGGCTATTGTAAAAAGAAAGGTATGCCTTCTTCATCTTTATCACAGTGTTAATAATATTTAGTTCAGAAGCAGTAATTCACCATTCTGCTTTATTCCCAAAAGGATTTAAGGCACTTTATAAAGGTACATGAAATACGACAAAAGATTTATAACCCAGGGTTCTCCACCTTGGCACTGTTGATATTTGGGGCCAAATTGTTGCAGCAGGCAGTCCTGTACATTGTAGAATGATAGCAACACCCCTGGCTTCTACCCACCTGATGCCAGTACCACCCCCTCCTTCAGTTGTGACAACCCAGAATGTCTCCAAATACTGCTCAATGCCCCCAGTAGGGAAGACAGAATGCAAGTCATCCCTATTGAGAATCTCTGGTAAAAATTTAGAAGTGTGTCAAAAAACAAACAGCCACTAGGACCAAAACTGAATACACACCTATTGAAGATGGATCACAAATGTTACTGGTTCTAGTAGTGAGAAAAGTAAAACCTGAGCCACAGTGACATGCCACTTCACACTTATTAGAATGACCTTAAAAAATAACAGAAGGTAAGTGTTGGTAAGGATATGGAAAAATTGGAAACCCTTGTGCATTGTTACTGGCAATGTAAAATGGTGCAGCCATTGTGGACAAGTTTTGGCAGTTCCTTAAAAAAGTTAAACAATTATTATCCAGCAATTCCACTTCGAGATAAATACTGAAAAGAAAGAAGGGACTCAAACAGATATTTGTATGCCAGTGTTCATTATTAACAATAGCCAAAAGTAGAAACAATTGATATGACCATTAACAAATGGATAGGGAAATAAAATGTGGTATATACATACAATGGAAT